GTGCATATCAAAAACAGCCAGGGAATCTGCCACACAGCGGTGGAAATCTCGACCAAGCACTTGAACAAATGCCTCCGGCAAGTTGTCCACATGCCGCTCGTGATAACGCACAAGGGCTGTATTCAATCTTGCCTCCTCTTCCCGAGTAACTGCCTGCAAAGATGAGATTTGTTGTTTGGCTTCTTGCACTGCCAGCTCAACAGTGTTTGACAAGGGGATTGCCAAAGCTGAAGCATCACGTGGTTTCACACCAAAGGGCGCATAACCATGGTCAACACTGGTTCCAGCAGCCTCTGCAATTGATGAGATGGCGTCTTTCTCTTCCTTTGGCAGGGCCGGGAATTCTCGCGCAAGCTCTGTCATAGTGCCAGGCGTCTTCCACGAAATGCCCTTCTTGTGCATATGCAGCCACGTTCTGAAACCACCTGGTCTGGAAGCCTTTCTCTCACGTCCGTCCTTGCGAACTTTTCGAACCTTGCGCAGTCGTTTTCTTTTTGAAGTCTGCACCCCTTCGCCTCTACCAGTACCACCTGTGAACACTCTTGTGTAATCCACAGCATTTTGTCTCAGCAGGAAGTCTGCTGAAAGATCATCTAGCTGCGTACCATGTGTTTGAAGTGACCGGGACATGACAATTCTGCGAGCCGAGGCATGCTTTGATTCGATTTGTGAAATGTCCATGTCGATCAGGAGGGCCAACGAAATCAAAATGTCTTGCGCAGTTGGAGATGATGCCTCTGCGACACTTGGGAACGCATGGACAAATGCCGCTGTCAAAGAATCATGAAGGCAATTTCTCAACTGGTAGAACTGTTCCACTTCATTGTTCCCAAGAAGGCATGAAAACAATCTCACTGGACAAGCCTTCCTAGAAGGAAGCAGCGAAACTTGTAGATTGCAAGCAACTCGGGACAGCAAAGCAAACAAGAGATTTCTGCTGATCAGCTTCATATCTTTCAGGGGCACAGCTGTAGGGACAGAATGGTGAGCTCGCTCAAGGTATTCAAACAGGTTGGCAACATCCTGCCCCTTATGCGCTTCAAGAATTCTGTAACTGCGGGTTTGTCCCAATGCAGCTTTGAACTCCTGTTCTTTGTCCCATCTTTGTCCAGCAAGGTGCAGAAACTTGTGCATGAGCCTGCAAACAGGATCCATGGAAATCCGCATTATGACCAACCTCCCTGCCAAAGAAACTGTGTGTTGGCTGCCACTGGATTTGATCCAAGCAATGAACTTTTGCTTGAGGGACTTGAGTATCTTTGCCCAATCCCGTTCCACATAGCTCACACCATCATCTTGTTCTTGAGGTGGGTTTGGATTGAGGTTGTCCAACACTTGATCTTGTTCACCTTGGTCATTGTCACCGTCTGGACCATTCTCGTCGAGGCATGCTTCACCAACTGCTGGACCGGGTGTGGGCAAAGGAGGCACATGACTAGGCAAGCTTTGCAACTTTTTCTTCAGCAAGTCTTCCCAAGTGATTGGTCCTTCTTGATCATCACACTCAGGAGCTTCATCCAAATTGTCTAGGCCCAACCATAAGGCTGAGGCACGCTCCAACAACTGGTGGTGAGTTGCTAAAATTGCAAAATAGTCAACAGCCAAGTCAGAATTGGTCCATCTGTGGCGAGGGAATGTTGGAACAGGACCTGGAAGCAAAGCCGGTAGCAAATACTTTCGGATCTTTGGAAGAAGTGTCTCCTTGGTCACATTGTCATTCTCTGTGAAGTGGATGATTCTTCGTGACTGCAAATCTCCATTGAGAAAGTACGCAATAACTCTCCGCTGCCTAATTCGCAAAGCTTTGAAACTTTTTCTTCGCTCATCCTGGTGACTGAACTCAGGAATCTTCAGGAGGAGCTCACGCAAGGCTTCTCGGTACTCTTTCACAAAGCCTTCTGGCAGTGCTGCGTAGCGAATCTCCAGGTTAGATTCCAAGACTTGGAACACACAGTCACGAAAAGCCTGCGCTGCCCCTGCTTCATGTAGAATGACACTGCCAGCAACCATGCATGAAATCTCAGTGTCAACCAGATTATGCTGGGTTGTTTGCGCACGTGACAACTTGTGTACATCGCAAGGTAAATGAACCTTGCCACAGCGTGGCCAATCTTGGTCCATAGAACGTTCAGCACTGAAGTTTGCTGCGTACTGGTCGGTGACCACAATGCTATAGTTGAGCGGAAAGTTCTCTTTGCACCAGCCTGATTCTGGCCAATGACAGGCTTTCAGAACTGCTTGTTTGATATTTTGCGCTGTTGTCCGATCAAGGCTAAGCAGAGGAGTTGGCAATCGAAACTTCATGAACATCCTTTTTGCTGTGACCGTATCTTCAAAGACCATCCCATAGACAGCTTCTGTTTGCAGTACTTTGGCTTGCTTGTTGCTGCTTTGAAGTGATCTGTCACGAAGCTTCACCGGCAATGGTGTTTCATCATATCGTCGTTTTTCAATCCAAGCTACAGGCTTCAAGGAGCCCCTGTCGACAAATCGGAAGGCGGCATCAATCAGCTGATTTGCTAAAAACCTACCACCCTCAAACACGCAGTCTGCGATTCGCTTGAACTGAAGGCTGAGCATTTTAGTGGACTTGCTGGCTTTCCAAGCCATCGCTTTGAAACTGAGCACTGGACGTCCTACTTCATACAAAGCTTCTTTAATCATTGGGTCCAATTCTACCGCTGCTTCTGTTCGGGCAAGAGCATCATGAGCAGAGATTGCAATGCACTGTTGGAAGGGATTTGGACCCATCTTCAAAGGAAGAGCAACCTGGACCTCTCTGCTGCTGCTGCTCGCAGACTGCAAAGGCTGAGGCTGAGGATGAATAGGTTGCCGCGGTGGCTGTTCTACTCTATGTCCACGACGTTTGACTTTCAAAAATTCTTCTGGCGTGCATTGCTGCTGCCGTTCTCTAGCAATCTTGAGCAGAAGAGCACTGCCGACTGGCCGGCCGGCTTCTGATCTTACACCAAACTTGCCATGATTTGCAGTCTCATGGTCATGTTCGGAGCCTTTCTGCAACACAGGTTCCCAGCTTTCCCAACCATGCTCATCCTCCGACGTTTGTGCCTCTTCCATTACCTACCTACCATCCCCCATTTGACATACTCACACTCACGAATGTGAGCAAAAGCTGCGGACACAACGCTTCAATGCAAAACCATGCACCCACCACTACATTACTTACACTCACTGCATGATCCCTGGATGTCCAAAAAACATCAAAAAACGGAGCTTTACAAACGAGCACGACCCAACCTTCAGTAGTGAAACATCCAATATCTGCTCCGTGCCTTCTTCGGCTTTGCTTGACCCAATGGTTGTTGTCAAGCAGCATGGTCACCACATGGTAGCCTCCATGCTTCCAAGGGCGATTGGCCACGAGGCTGAGGAACCTGCAGCGTGAAACTATGTTTGTGGTCATATGCAATTGGTAGACTGGTTGGCGCTTGACGGACTTGATTCAACTAGTGAAACTCGTGACTAGTGACTAGCGACCAGTGACTATAGCGGCTATAGCGCCTAAGTCTAGTGCCATGTGGACTCCCAGCCTGTCTTTGGGAGTAGAGTTGTCTTCTTCATGCTCTGGCAGCCCAAAGCCATACACCTGCTCCATGATGCAGGCTTTAGGTTCATTGCTTTCAAGCAAGGCCAAGCTTTCCTCGAAGGTGACTGAGTACTGCGAGTGAGCTTTGACTGCATCAGTGTGTGTGCGCTTCATTCTCTCAGGGCGCTGTGTGCTGAAAGGCGGGCAAGGTGTCCCGAAAACTGTCAAGTCTGGGGACATGTCCTGGTCTCCATCACCATCTGGCACACATGGACATGGCCCGTCTGAATGCATCAAGCAATTCTTGTTGTGGCTTTGGTCAGCCATGGTGTGATAAAAACACGTGATTCGGTCTCTATGATTGGCAACGGCAAAGTCGCGATATTTGCTCGTAGGCTCAGAACAGGACAAGCACTTGAAGTTGATTCCAAGCGCCTACGCATTCCGGGGCAGGATTCAGGAGTAGCTCAGTAGCAGTAGCAGCTAGCTGGGCACTAGTCACTAGTCACTAGTTACTAGCGTCAATAGTTGGTTATATAATGTCTTAACTGTTTGTCTAAACTTCCATTCGACAATTGACAAGGAGTCCAACCGTTGGACAAGTCCAACTGGATCCCAACCCAAAATGACCTGACCTAACCGTAACCCAATCTCCAGTCAATCTACCCAATCTACCCAAGCCGACAACTCCGAAACCAAATGTCGAGTCCTCTCCAGTCACGAGTCATTGGCCTTCAAAACTGCAGCTTCTGCAAAGCTGGCTGTGCAACCGGAAACCAAACGCATAGGTGCTGAAGGTGGGAACTGCTGAAGACCAGTCACAGGAAGCAAATGAGCTGTGTGAACTGGCAACACTTTCGCCCACCATGGAGCTGACACAGGCATTTGGTAGTCACCGCGCCTGCCTTCATGCACCATTGACCCTTCGAAGTAGGGGGAACTCTTTTGGGACTTACCGCTTGACTCTGTTTCTTCATCAGATTCGCACCGAATAGAATCCGCCAAGGCTGCCATGCAAACCTTGTCTTTGGATCTCTGCAACAAGTCTGCCTCCAGGTCTTGCCAACTCATCAGCTATTCAGAGTAACGTAGGGCCTAGGGCCTAGAGCCCTATCCCAGGAACTACAAAAGTGAGTTAGCTGCTAACTCCTTTGAGACAAGCGAGGAAGGCGACAAATGAGCTGAGACTGAGCTCCTTTACTTCCTGTGATTGTCTTGTTTTTTCTGGCTACAGGATTTGAATGGAATCTCCTACAGGTTTTTCCTGAATATTTTTCAGGTTTTTCTGTCTAGGTTTCTCCTAGGTTTTTTCCAGGATTTAGTTGTTTTGTAAGATATCAAAAACTACTAGGGAGAAACTCACAATTCTAATTGTTCACTTTGCTTAGGACTAAACCAACACCCAAACGAACATGCATCCAAACCTGCTCAGCTCTGTGAAGCTCTCTCCCGCCTCACCGGCCATGTAACAGTTCACCGCCTCCCGTGCGTGGTCCACACTCTCGTAGAGCTCCGCCGCGGCCTCCGCTTGTGACTTTGGGCCAGCACAGCCAGACATGGGTGACAAGAAAAGGGGAGAGGAATGGATGAGTATATATTCATTAAAGTGTTAAAATACAAAAAGATTGGGGACTGTTGTGGCCCTGCCTGGGTAGGCTGGCCTACTTATTTTCCTTGAAGATGGAATGTTCCTTTTACCGAACATCCCGAATCAATCCCCAAGCTGCATGTTCCGACCTCGAAGCGCTGGATAAGCTTGAGGCGTTTGGCCACAATGGACACCACCTCGTTGTACCGCTCCTGGCCAAGAAAAGGAATAAAAATGAAATAAAACATCAATGAAAAACGATACGAAACGTGTGGAAACTCGAGACTTGTCTCTGAGATGTTTTTCTGTGACAAAAAATAATGCAAGGTCAACATCACAAGCTCCAAGAATGGCCCGACATGGGACAGCAAGATATCAGGATGACGCAGGAACCCAACACGGAACAGCTTCTGCAAGTAAGATCAGGTAAAAGAAACATGTCTTCGGAGACTTCTCTAGTTCTCTGATCTCTGACTTCTCTCGATCTCCCCCCGTCTCTCCCTCTCTCACCTGAGCGTGCTTCATGGAGAGCCTCACCGCATTCTCCCAGACCTCTTCGAGGCGATCGGCATCTGCACTGCTCGTCTCCGAGACCTCAACGGACTGAGAGATCATGCGGGGGTTCGGAGAGATGTCTTTTCGTGGGACTCTGCCGGGGTTCCATCTGTCCGTTCGGAATAAACAAGTTTGGAAAAAACTCTGCTTTTGGGGGGTCCATCTATTTTGCGTTCTTGGCTCATGTTTTCTCTTTGTTTCTTTCTTGTATCAGTCCCAAACTTGGTGTTTCTGTCCATTTCTTTAAAGGTGGCAGGTTTCACGATGACTTGAACTGTTTGAACAGGGTCAAAATCAACTTCTTGATCGCACCATGGAGAGAGGGTTTTAGATTTCAGACACCCTGGCTCTTGTTTCACCTTCTCCAAGACTCCAGCTGATAAGTACGTGTCAATTGCACGCGAGTAGCTGCCAGTATCCTGCCCAGCAGTTGGCCGGCGGCCTTTCGCCAGTGACTAAACGCATTCTGCCTAAGCAACACACCGATCGGTATCCACCATCAACCCACAGGTTGCTTTCCTTTTCTTCCTGTCGATCAGCTGATGCGCTGAACCACCACTTCCTGTCTCCCTGTTCCTCGTAGATCTTCGCTGCATCCAGGATCTCATCCAAACTTTGCGCTACTCCTGTCCAAACAAAATCTCACTGCAGAAAGTAGCACAGAGGGGGCATGTTGAAAACGCTGTGTCTGTATATACATGAATTACATGGCATGATGGTTTGACCTCATGTGAATGACCCACACATATGTACTCTTTCCATCTCTCTCCTCCATATCTTTGAGCTCCGTACATGTTGGTGTTATCCTCTGTTTTTTGTACCTCTTCATTACAGTAATTCATAAATTTACAGCAGTACGATTCAACAGCCACCCTGGATCCATCTTGCTCCAGAAACATGGCCTGGTGCTCCACCACCTTCGCCATATGAATCCACCACATCTCCCAGCATGTGGGGGCAGTGCTTCTTGCAGACCTCAGGCAGTTTGACATGCCTTCCGTTGAGGATTCAGGAAAGAAAGGGAACCAGGGACCTGGTCCTGGACTCTCGGCCGTTCTCACCCGCTCGCGCGTTCGAGGCGGTTCCTGAGGCGACTCACCCGCACTGCCTCTGGGACATTACGTTTCGCCGAATAGGCCTCAGTGGGAGGAGCAAAAAAACCGTTCATGGATTCGTTGGTATGAAAGTTTAGGCTTCATTGGGATGGGATCAAAAGTTTGATGCTTGAGATCAGGGCTTCTGGAGTGTTGGGATTACATGTTGAGATCCTTTTCCAGTTCAGGGCCTTTGATTGCGCCCAGTATCGAGCTTTAATCGCCTACAGCTCTAATTTCAATCCAACAATCCCACCCACCTTGACCGCCAGCTCTGGCTTTCCAGCCTGCCAGCAAGCTGGGCGCTTCATTAAAAGAGGTGCGTCCAAAGAGGGTCCGCTGATTTTTACTGCAAAAACAGGATCCAGTGACTTGCTTTGACAGATGGAACTCAAAATCAGCAGCTTGTCCTCATGTGTGACCGAGGAAAACTTCCAAATGCCAAAAACCAAGCGGATATATATATATATATTGTGGTTGGCTGCACCTGGATGAAGAGATTCTCTGCAGCCTGGCATGTTGAATTGCACGAATGGGCGTGGCTCACAACAAAGGATTGGGTTAGAGAGGAATCTTGTTTGAGCTATTGCATGGTATACCCACATGAATAGCATAGTCCACTTAACAAGTCAGCCCCAAATGAAAAAACATGTGCTACCCAGCCCCATGGTTTACACCCTCTGGGTTGAGAAGCTTGGATTGGAGACAGACTGGCCAAACCTTTACCGCATGCAAAAGCTCACCTGTACTCTTCTAAAGCCTCTGGTGTGTAAAGCAAACGAATTTAATGACATTGGCTCGTCAAGACGCTCAAGCTCTCTGATCGAAACCTCCACAAAATCCTTTCGCATTGAACAACTAACTCCATCAGCGGTGGGAGATCTTTGAGGCGGCCAACTTACCAAAAAGAAAACCCAATCACCCCCGTCTTTCGCATGTGCAAAAGAAATCGTCCCAGGTTTGATCCTCCACTGCCCTGATGGGTGTTGATAGGCCTGGACAATATCAACCTCCAGAGTAGAGTGAGTAGACACAAATTCAACACCCAAATAGTTGAGCAACCTGAATCAAAAACAAATCCTGCACTGATATTCACTTGTATATGGCTGTGGGTCAAGACCAGTCAGGATACCTTGACCTACTTGGGAGGTCAAGCTACATGGTATTGGGGCTTCAGGTTTTGACCTGCCCCCTTGTACACGATCCACATACAGTAGTATGCAGTGGATCAGATCCACATCAAGCATCATAAAGCACCTGCATATTGTTCTGATCCACCAGATCTTTGGCGTGATGCACCATGACGTCATTCACGCTCTGGGGCTCGTAGGCCTCTGAGCAAAGGCGACGTGGAGATCTCCCAGTTCCAATCAGAATCGAAAGAAGAAGGGCAACTAATGCCCAGGAGCTACGTTCGTAGCTTCTTGCTACTAGTAGTAATGCCCTTATTACTAGTAGCGATGCCCTTGTTACTAAGAGCTTCTAGGATTTGACACTTCAGTGGCCATTTTGTGGGATGTTCATCTGTTCATCTGTCGTATCATCACTAGACCTTCGCGTCCAAGTACTTACACTCTCAGTTCTGCTAGTACAGTACATCTTCCACAAATGACGTATAAGCTCCGCAAGCTGGTAAAACAGTAAAACCATGGGTGCTGTTCATTTATCTTTTTGGCTTCGCATTCTATCACCTTTGCCAAACTGCTGGAGCCTCGGCCACCCGCATTGCAGAGACCCAGTCACGCTGATGCACATACCTGATTGGCTGTTGCAGTCATGTATATTACTAACACGCGACAAAAAAAAGAAACCGCTGAAATGATTCACCACCAAACAACCGGAGAAGGCTGAGTCCTTCGGCTCATTGATCTGCCTACCGAGTATGTACGGGTAAGACCAGAAGGATCCAGCTTTTAGCTGAATGACGCCAAGCTGCATATCAATGGCCTCCTTGGGCTTCTTGGCTTGGATAAACTCTTCCTCAGCCAGTTTGAACCTCAGATGAGCTCAATCACATTGACGTTAGGTGCCAAGTCATATGATTTACTAACGCTAAGTTGGAGCGCACCATTGCCCTGCCATGATGGGCCGTTCTCATTCTCATTTGGTGGATGTGAGGGTGGCTTGAGAGGAAATTAGGCAAAGCAGTGATTAATATTATATATAATTGTGCAAAAGTGTGTCTCACCAACGCCCTGAACTGTCCCGAACGTGAGGCGGTGGCTGCTCGTCATCCTCCAGCGCGAGGGCCTCCAGCGGTGGAGCGTCACAAGACACCAAAAAGGAGCAGCTGAGAGCAGCTAAGAGCTCAGAGTGTTGGAGGCAATGCACTTTGCATCATCAACTCCGATCTCAAAGGTTCAGGCATCGTAGCCGGAGCTGCCCCACATGTAGGAAATCATCTGTGGTAGAATTCTCGAATTCATTCCCAAGACAGCCTGCCCTGCTCATTCTTGTCGTCTATATACATATATATATATTATACAACAAAATCATAAAATGCATTCAACACATTGTAAGCTGCCCGATTTCGCAAGCTCGCCCAGATCGGCAGCGTCGCCTTCTTCAAGTGAATGTCTGGTAGCTTGTGTTTTGCCGACAAATTGGCCAGCCTAGATGTCAGGACCGGCTGGCAGGTGAAGCTCTCAGTGCTTGATTGCACGAGTGAGATTACTCATGCAGCCCGGCGCTTCCCTGCCTAATCCCTCAAGCAAGCTTGCCAAACCCTACTCCGTGCTTCGAAGATCTTGGAGGACCATACCCAGTCCAACCAAACCAAGTCAAACCCTCACAAAGCCCATCAACTCGTCAACCAGGGAGCTCGAAGGCGTGCGCAAAGTTGCTGTGCTCCACAGCATAGTCAATGGCCTTAGAGTAAATTAGGATGACAGGGCTGCAGAAATGTACAGTTCAGATCAAAACCTTCTTTACTTGTATCAAAATGGCATCGGTTTGTGGTCAGGTGCTCGTGCATCCTTTTATGGTGAAACTTGAAAATATCAACAATCAAATGGTGAATTTACATACATCATCATACATCATAATCCAACTCAAAAAGCTGTCGGCGAATTGAAGATTTCCTCAAGGCCTGGACAGCCTACAGCCAGTTCTTCCAAAATGGCACATCAGACACATGAATGCTTCAGTCCATTTTGGGGCATTTGTGTCACATCAATGCCTTCGAGCAAGCTGCGAGCTTGCTGCAAACTGTATGCTATCACGGCACCACCGATTGAAGGCCACAGGTTTCCGCTGGCACTTTGACAGCCTACTACCACAGTGGTTGCGCATGCTACATCTTCCAGTTGGCTCTTCTCATTTCGGGGACTCTTTGCGTGCAGTCCCTAGTCCCTCTTCCTGAATCTTCCGAACCTCCCGAGAGTATCATCTGAACAACGCCTCCTTCAAGCCCTTCTGTGCCAGCAGCTGTACTAAAATCATCTAAAATCATGCAAACTCGTGTCTCTGGAGTTCAAAGTGGGGCCGCCCCACTGCGGATCCGCAGATCCACATCCGCCACACTTCGCTTTAGACAACGGTTGATCGAGACATGGCTTTCGACGACGGATGGCTGCCGCAGGGGCACAGCCAAGCCGCCCATGCGGAAGCCGCCTTCAGACGTTCTTCAAAAGACCGAGCGTGGCTCGCTGGCAGCGTTTGGATGTGCAGACGCCTTCATCACGATTCCGAGAGCGTATTCCCTGCCTCCGGAGGGGTGTGATAAATTAAAGTGCCCGTCTGTTCCAAGCAAGTGAACAAGCAGGCTTCAAGGCTCCAGAACTGGAAACAAGTGGCCGGTCCAGTGGTTCTGCTGAAGAGGCGGCATGGAATGCGAAGTCTGTGGACCACAGCAAGACGCTGGTGATCTTGAAATTTTGAAGGTGGTTCTTACTATGCGGGTGAGGGGAATGACCAACCCATATACTGACCTGGAAAGTGTGCAAACAACTTGCTGGCCTCTTGTTGCCGAACTCACTTTGTGTACAACCATGGTGCTTGTATGTTCTACTACAAACTCCTACGAACTCACAGTACAAGTTGCATGAGTTAACCTTTCAGACTGCCGGTCCTGGCTGATTTGAACCTATCGGCACGGCTGAACCAGTCCGCACGCCTTCGCTGTGGGCACCCTGAACCACTCGATGAGGCCCTGCTGTTTGCGCTCATCGCTTGGTCTCCACACGATGTCGATGAGGCCATGCTTTGCAAGAAGTTGTGCGCCTGCCTGCGCTTGGTGAGATGCTTGCATGATCACAATACTGAGGAATACTGAGGATATACTCTCTGCTTGACAAGCGCTACTGTACAGCGAAGCGTTTCTTCATATCCCGCCTCCGCACCATGCTCCTTGAAGGTTGCCTGGCAAGAGTTCAATCAAATAAGCTCCGTTCCGGATCACGACAGGCAAAATCACCCCTGCTGCAGTCAAGAGAATCAACGCATTAAGTGCCCACTCCGGTGTCGCAATCACATCAAAAGTGTGTGTGCTCATGTAGAGATCAGATATTCAGGAACTCTTCAACAAGAACCTACTAGTCTGTATTCTTCTCTCAAAAAATCCAGCGAGTGTGCCTGCTGACCTGCTGGTAACCAAAATGCATAGTCCAAATCAAGGCCGGGCCCACATGGGCTTGGGCGAGGACCACCTTCTCCAAAGCTTGCTTTCCCCCATGCATCTGCAGAGAGCAAAGCACAGAAAACCCGCGCGGGTGACAGCGCGGTTTATGCAGAAACCGTTTTAAACGGGGGGGAACCCGCGAGTGGTGCTATGAGAGGTCATTCTTGGAAACAACATGGCCGTGGAGTGAAGAAATAATATGGGCCAGTGCCCACCTTGGCCACACGTTTCGCATCTTCCCATTGTTCCAGCTGTCGATACATCGACATGGCACTTGTCCACATCTTGGCCTGGCCACGAAGCCCGTGAGAAATGAAACATTGAAGTGCTGACTGCTTTACTTCTGGCAGGGTAGACTATGGTAGACGAGCTTGAAGGTACGATCGCTTTGGTTCTTGAAGAAATCTTATGCCATCCTTGTACGTGGGGGTCCGCACTGTAAGAACTGGTTGCAGAGCCAAGCAACAGTCCAATGCTGAAAATGTATGATCCAGATTCCAGATTCTCTACCTGTCCTTCCAAGCGACCGCAGAAGGTGACACGCCAGAGTCGGAGGCATGGGGGCACAAGCAAGGAGAGGCACGACGCAAGACCAGAGCTATCGACATAAAAGGCCTGGCCCCGCCACTTGGTCGGCTCCAAACAGGTAGTAGGCGGCCTTCCCTATTGAAGCACAGCTTTTTCAGTCGGAGCCGAGACCTAGGTGCCTTCTTCGATGAGGTGGGTCGAAAAAGGCCAACACCGCCCAGCAGATCGCCCGTAGAAGAGTACTTTCGTCCAATAGTACTGAAAAGCTCACTACAATTCGCTACATTGGTCCATCTTCAAACAGGGGACCGCCATGATCCCTGAAAGGTGTAGGAAAGTGAACCCTCGAAAAAAGCTGCAAAGCCCATGCGCCTCGACGTAGTAGTGCTCTGCCTTCTTTAGATTTCCTTTCATTTCGTACTGCTCTGCAATGTGTTTGTAAGTATCGTTCAAGAGCTCCTGCATCAAGGTGATTGACAAATGATTGCTCTTGAAGTTGTGAAAAACAAGCCTCGTCTTCAACCTATAAAAAAAGACATCGCTGAATTCACAAAAAGAAGAAACAATATCTCCATGAAAGGAAAACCTCCACATCTCTGATTGGTTGTGGTTTCGTCCCAATCTCAGTGTGTACTCTCCCCCTTTTACTGTGCTAAGCTACCGGGTGCCTTGCGTTTGCTGACAAAGACCCTTACGACTCATGTGGTCCTTGCGATACTTGGACACCAAGCGCAACATCTGCTCATACTCTTCTCGCTTCTTGTACCTGACCCATGAGGAATCACTAGACATGATTGCAATGATTGCTGAGGGTCCACACTTCTGCTCTCCAAAAAAAGCAACTGTCTTAGGTCTGTGGTGAACAGAGAACAGCCTCCATCAGCGAGGACCATCGGACCGAATCTCTGGACCCGTCGAGGACATCTCCAGTCACAAGGTATGAGAAAGTTGTTGGAGAAAAATGGATTCCAAAAAGGAGCCTTACCTTACTTTGTGAACCATTTTTTTATCATATCGGTTTCATGCTTTTTCTTGGTTGCTTTTCTCATTCGGTGCTGACGTTTAGCCGTTTGTTCTATGAGAAGTTCATACTTTTGGCTAGTTGAACTTGGTGCCTCCCAGGACACGCGTGTGGACTCCGTGCGTTGCAGGATGTACTCCAACCAGGTGCCAATGACGTGTCGTTCTCGGATCAGCGGAAGCCCCCACTCTCATCTCCAAAACCCGACCCCACCAGTTCTGTGGAGTCACATGTTGATGGCCAAATCGAACTCATTCACTGCCAGATACATCTGCTCAGCCTGCGCTCGTGAAATCCCGCTGGCTCGGGAACCGCCGTTCCCTGCAAGCTGCAACGTGCTGCGGTTCCCTTCTGGAGCATCTCACAATCACTGAACAAAAATGGATTCAGTTCAGATGGCACGTCTGGATGAACCATATGCTCACCCAGCAGCGAATGAGGGTGGGATGGGTAGAGGGTTCTGCTGCCCAGCAGCTGCAGGGCAAGAAAAAACATGTTACTTCTCTATACTGTCAAGGTCGATCAGCTCTGCACACCAATCTTCATCCGCCCAATGCCTCATTTAGCTTGCCTTGCTGCTCCAGTACCTGCGGCTGGATCTCCAACTGTGCAATCAATATGCATTGGGAACCCTACAGCCCTGCCCTGCTTGCAAATTGCTTTCTACGCAAAGCCCAAAGACAAGGTTTGACCTTGGCGGGGGGGTCAACATCTCGACTCTTCCCCCAAACCTGCACTCTTCACACTTTTGAGCAGAAAAGCATGGTGCCCAGTTCTAGGTGCCTGAGCCAGCTGAATGTAGAGCTCGGTTTTCTCCGCTGGGGACAGATGTGCCTTTGCTACCCGGTGCGCCTTCTCGTACCTCGACACGGAGAGCTGGCGAACCATAAAGCATCGTTGTCCTAGCCCTTTTTGCTTTGAAATGTCTGAAGCCTCCTACAACACAAGCATCAAGCTAAAGAGGGTAGAGGAGGACAACAACTGTGTCGGTGTGCGTGTCAAAGTCCCCAATCGATGCCATCAGCACCAGCGTTCCATCCGCTCTGCGGGTCACTGCGCATGATCGACATACATCTGCACCTGAGCTCGGTGGGACGACCAAGCGAATTGGACTGCAACGAATAGGACGTGCCACACGAAGCTGTGGTCCCTTTTTGACACCCACAGGACTCGTTTGTCTGCTTCAGGCTTGGCAAATTGACCGTTTTGTGTTTTTCTGGGCGGCGACCATTGCCCCGTTTATATACTCATATTCATGACAGGCCCGACCTGTCAGTTCTTCTACCCAATGCTGCTTTCATGGCCGCGCGAAAGAGCCCAGCACCGCCCGCTGTGGTCGTCCAGATTTGATGAAGGCGCGTTCAGCCTGGTCAAACCTCGAGCTGATGTCAGAAAAAAGCCAACTAGGACCCAGGAGGTAGGCAGTGAACTGGCTGTGCAAGAATCAAGCTCACAGCCACAACTGCCATTATGCCATCAGCGGTCAAAGAAACCCATGACCACGATAAGTAGCCATACGGGCTATGCTCATCGATATTCGTTGGAAGACGGTTGACTTGTCAATCCACTATTCGTGGGACTGGGTGTCACTGGCTGCCGGGATTGCCCGTAGTGCGTCGCCAGCTTCTCGTAGAAGGGCAGCGCAAATGTCTGGTCCGCTCCCATCGACACCTCGTGATTGCCCAGGGATTGCAACATTAGATGTGCTGTGTGTCCATCTTTTGACTATTAAATTCTACAGCTTCTTGTTACTACTAGCGATGCACCTGTTACTAGTAGCGTGGCACTTGTTACTACTAGCGATTCTAAGATCCAATAAGAATACCAAATTCAATATTCCTACGCCTTGATGAAACATGAGCTTTTGGTATCGAAACCCTTCCAATGCCATTGCCACCACCCTAGGGGCACAGAATTTGGACTGAACAGAGCCCCCTCCCATTTCTGTGGTTTTGTCTTTAACTGCAGGATGTCTTCATGAAAGGCCACAACTTTCTCCCCCCCGCCTGATCCAGTAGCATCTCTGCCTTGTGCCACTGCCTCGCAGTCCTTGGTGGCAGGTGGGGTTGAAGTCCATCTTCAATTGCCTGGACATTGTTCCAAGCTTGAAGGCAACGTCCACAAACCCCCAAAGTATTTACAAGCCCTGGCAAGCCCAACTGGCAAACTGGCGGTGCATTTCGCAAATGGATCTGGACATTCTCAAAGGCAAGGAAATTGTCCGGAAAGCGGTACGGCTGGATCCGGGTCCCGGAATGGTCTTCCAAGATTCATTGCCGCATCAATGGCCTTGATGGCAGAACCAGCCTGCGAAGGTGCTCCAATCATTGACTTGTGCGCTTGTGCGTGTGAACAAACCTGAGAAGGTTCTAGAACACACTTGTCGTGCGAAATCCATCAAACCATCTTCAATCTATTAATACATCCATCTCTTCCTCAATTATGCAATCTCCAAGAAACTGCATCACAAGCATCACAACACTTGACACCCTCTAATTCCACCAAACGGTTCCCTTTCAACCATGACCCCCAGCCTGCCGGCTGGTTTTGGCGACAACTCTTCGTACTATTCGTGTTTCCCAAGCTGTACGAATCTAGTTTTGTTTCCGAAGTTTGGTTTGACCCCCGAATCTTTCACGCATTCGCTCCTCTGGAACAACCCAAGCCTCAATGTAGTGGTTGATAGCAGCATCAACCTGTGGAGGGCGTCCTACCACCTTTGCTCGATGTTTTAACCAAAAGCGTGTGATTTTCAGGCGTTGAACAGAATGGTCCAGAATGGTCATCAACGGTGTTCAACTAAGAACGAATGTTCAAAGCGGTCTCTCTGCTGATCAAGAGACCGGTTTTGGGACGCGGTTCGAGCGTTCACCCCCACCTGTCGCTGTGACACCAGCCAGTCGCCCCACTGCTCTTCCAAGGCAACCTTGGGCAATGGCAAAACCCTCGGGTTCAATGAAACCGACTTATTCCTACTGCTTAAATGACTCAGGACCTCATCTGCTGCTTGGACTCCAAGCTCAATCCAGTCTATATATTACTATAGATATATATATATATATACTTGCTCCCACCGATTGGTTGAAATCAAAAGGTTTCAATCTCCCTATTTGACACGCACCATTACACCCAAATCTTTTGTCAATCAAGAGCTCCAGGGAGACCCACCACCAAGCCCGGCTGCGAATGCTTGGCCAGCTCGATCGCCTGCCCGGCAGGCCATCTTTTCACGTCTGAGCACACAAACTCTTTTTCTTCCAAATATACTGTATACTTCGCTGGACAACCTTCAACGTGTCTACATTCTTTTCCACACCGTTCACCTTTGAGTCGTTGACTTCGCACGCCTGGCGATAGGCATGGCCCCTGCAATAGGCATCCATAGCTGGCTGGATGAGCCCCATACGCTCATACAAGGCGCCCGCACGGTCGTGCATGCCGCTGGCCTGCGAGCAGGCGAAGCGGCCTTTTCAGGGGCGGGCCGGTGTGCGGATATGGAAGGTGAACCATCTCCGGAATAGAAAGAATGTCTCGTTCAAGACTTTGGGATGTTTCTAGAACAGGCAAAGCCGCAGTAATGATCATCATGTGGAGCCTCTAAGTGGTTCAATCCCTCACAACCAATCCACAAGTCCAAGGCTCCTGTAGCCCTGCCACGATCTTCTGCAGAAGTTCCTGCAGCATTGATGTCTTCTTCCAAAGTGGATGAATAATGCGGGTCCAGTCTTGCTTTTTGCCAGCGCAATGTGCCCCAGAAGCCCTCGTGACAAAACAGCACCGTTTGGCGGTACAAAGGAACTCGAAAGTGTCGAGAACCCAAGGCAAGCTATGAGGTGAAAGAAAACAAGGCACTCAACTGTGGTTGCATGAACTCAAGATGAGTTCCTGCATCTCTTCTCTAAAAGAATGGTTCCCCCAACGAGGGTGAAACATTCTATGGCCCATCCACAACATACTTCAAACGCTTCACAAATCTCACCTTCACCTAAGGACAGCAGGTTGGAGGCCATTTCTATTAGAGGGGAGGCCATCGCACTGAGGCCTGGGAGTAGTTGGCATTGTGGCGTTGCACCACCGAAGCGGCCTGGGAACGGAGCTGGGAAGAGCGTCTTCCGTTTTCCGTTCCGCACAGAGACGGGACACCTGTTTGAGGCGTGGACCGATGTAGTCCCCATACTCAGCTTTGTTACTAAAGTGCCAGTCTGCATGTCCATTGACCGCGGGCAATCCCACTTTTGAAAGCGTTCAACTGCATAGTCCTTTTTTGCCCAACCTCTGAGAACGGAACCATATAACTGGACAACAGGACCAAAATAGACGGCGTGTGGTCAGTCTTGGCTCGTCTATCTTCCGGGCTTCCAAGATGACGATCAATGGGCAAAAGCAAAAATCGTTGCTGGAAACTACCATGGAGTAATTACGAACATACAATACAAACTTAGTCGATACCAACTCATAGCGGTCAACATGTCATCCACACATGAAGTCTGTCTGAACATGACCAACCTTCGCGGCCATACCACCACGGAGATAGAGCTCGATCGCCCTGATGTCATCGAATCAGCGGGGTTTGTTGCTGCAAGTCCAGTGAATTGCATTTCTTTAGAAGTTCTTGCAAACACCAGCAAGCTATCCACAATGGCACGCACGTATTGTGCTCAACTTGACCCATGCAAGTAAACCCTCTAGAACTCCTTCGCAGAAATCAGTGCACAAACTCATCTCGCACTTTTTATGTCCGCATCACCATGCCATCGCACCAAAACTACCAAGTGAAACCTTGCATCTGCGGCTGTGTTGAAAAAGTCATGTTGCATATACAACCGTTGATGTTGATATGTGCACGATCTGTGAGAATGTAAATCGTGGGCTGCAAAAATTGGAATGAAAAGCTCCAGTGCATGTCGGGAAAGAACTTGGGAATTCCAGTCAACATCTACTCACACTTGGACCTAGACTACCACCAACAGAAATGCTCGCTGACCTCCCTGGCAGTGTCTTAGTTGTGCATTGGCTTCTAGCTCTCCAGCACATCACCGGCCCTACACCCAGTGTATCACTCATTCAGAGCAGGCGCCTGCATGGCTTCTGGGTTCTGATCATCAATCGAATGGCCGTCACACCAACCACAAGCACATGGCAAAAAGTTGGCAATTCCCAAGATTGAGTCTAAAGAATCTAAAAAGAATAATAGGTAGTGTACGCACCTAGTTGAGCAAGTGTCTGCCTTTCTTCAAGGCAGAGCTTTTGGGACTGCTTTCAATACTATCTCCAACCAAACCAAACAAAATGTCGAGGGTATCTATTCTCCACAACTCCAACATAAATTTGCTGGACACCTTTCTCATCTTCCCTTAAAGAAGAAACTCGCGACGGATCACACACTTAGGGAAATGCGTACTGAACTGATCGCCTCAAGCCCGCAGACGCATACCGATTCCGCCGGCCTGCTTGGGAACTGCAAAGCCACGCTCCCTCTCAGAGAAGATGCTGGGCGTTCGCCAAAGGTCGCGGCTCCTGTGGCAGGAATGCACCCGTCTACTGAAACGTCAATAAGTTTGAAGTGGACTTTTCTTCAGAGCCAATGTGTACATTGACAATCGCTTTGGCCTTCCCCTTGCACAAGCACGCGTGTGTGAATGGTCCTTCCCTCGTGCCTTCTAATGGTTCTTTAAGGACTCTTTCAGAGTCTAGGTCTATGATGTGACTCAAACGTTTGCACCAGCCAGAAAGCACCTCCTGTGCACATCAATGGCTCTACAAAGACGTTGAATTGGACCCTGAAGGATGTTCAAGCCGTGCGTGTTGTCTTTGGCTATATGAGTGTTCCTTCAAAAAACAAAGAAACACTCCAGAAATCAGGCTAACAATCTCCTGGATCTGCAAATTCGATCAACATCCATCCATCGGAACCAAAGGTATCTCAATAACAAGAAAAATCTATGCGGCATGCGCAAAGTCTCTAGAAATCTCCACGGTCAAGTTCTTCCCTGTTTGACTGCTTTTGATCCATGCAGTTGCCCAAAACCGTCCTCTGCCGAAGCTTCGGTTGCATCAGCGTCTCCGTGAACTCCCAGGGTCGTGGCTCGCCGGCACGGCCCCGTGCCTTGGATCGTGGCGCGCTCCGCGAGCGGTCGATGGATGGATCATGGAGGGTCGAGGATCAACCGGCGACGTCCTCTGCTTTGGCGCATGAAAAGCCACTGATTTCCTTGATGCTTTGGTCTTCGTTCTTCCATGGATGTTCCAAGGCGTGGAGGAAAAAGAGAGAACCACAGGTTTTGCCGAAGAAAAATGTGTGTGGGGGTGGGACTTAAAGCAAACCTGTCTTCCGGAATAGTCTATTATCTGGCTTGACTATAGCCTTAGTTTATGCAAAGAACTGGTTTGTGTCCCCATGTATGGAGTGTGCAGTTGTTGCAAGTGTGGCCACTTGGCGCAGTTCATTACTTTCGTGAAGTTTCGACCAGCTGTGTAAGGTCTTCCTGCTCAGCAATTGTGATATCTCTCCTATTGGTTCCACTTCGCAACTGTCGCGGGGTTGACATGAAAGTGTTTGTCGGAATGCAGCTGAGTGCAAAGCCCCAGTGGGCAGCTTGCAATAAATAGCCAACCTTAGCAAAGTCTCCCGAGGCCATCTGACAGAACCACAATTGAGAGAAAGCAAAACCCTGCAACATTGAGATGGTACATGGACGTAGCCCTGCCTCTACACGTTGATACGAGAGCGTAAATGAATGCACACAGAACTGCGCTGCCAAGTCATGCCAAGCCCCTTACATGCCACTGCCATACTCACGGTTCCTGCAAGCGAAACAAAAGCCAGTTTGGTTTAGAAACGTAAGTGAGCACGAGTCCTGTCCGATGAAGTAATTGAGTTGAGACGATAGCAAAGTATAGCAAAGTAAGGTCAAACCGCAAAGTGCCCAGGTCATGTTGACTCCCTTAGGCCAAGTGCGAAAAATCGAAAATTCAGTTTGAATGTTTGACTGCGACTGGGTCACATCATACATATTACGTATGTTGTATGTGCACATATATGTGTGATTATGTGTGTTCCCACCACAAACGGTACCTTTCCAGCACACAAACCTTTGGTGGAGTAAGACAGTGCTCAGATGAGAAGGTAGATGAACGATGGAATGAGGATTTGTGCAGAAGAAAAAACACATGAGAGGAGCAAGAGATTGCTGCAAATGAAGTTTGAGCAAGTCGAAAGAAACACCAGCGAGTTTGCTTGTTTGAGGGAGGCAAAGGTCAATCCAACATAAATGTTGCCATCAGATAGCACCAGTTCTGCTGCGCCAAGCCAAAGGTCTCAACCCCGCACCCAATATATACATATACTCATATTGGGTTCTTGCCCGCAAGAACTTGACGAGCTCGTTGGTTCTGCGTGCATGATCTTTGGTGGATCTCCATGCGCGTCAGCTCGCTGAGTGCCAGCACCGACCTGGAGTTTCCAACCATAAGGCAAAATGTGTTTCACACACCGGGTGTTGAAGGGCTTCATTCGCACTGCATGTGGAAACTAGGCGGTCCGGTGGGGGTTGATGTAGCGCTAGCAAGCCTTTTGTTCGAGCGGTACTTCACCATGCCTTGGAATATTTTTGTATGTAGCCTGCCACGTTCACAATTGGGACAGCACCCCTTGTTCCAATCCAGCAGATCCTTGTCCCAATCTCTGAATTGCTGGCGCACACCAGCTCCGGTTCTGTTTGGCCCATTTGGCCTGCTCCTCACGGGCACTCTGGCTGGCACTTCGCGCTTGTCACGGACATGGAGAACATTCTTGCACTCCTTTGGCGTCATGGCAACAGGCGTCTTCTGAACTTGCCGAAGCTTCCCACGCTCTGGCGCAAAGGACTGTTTGCTGTGGGGCTCAGCCACCTTCAACAAATGGGCCAAGCTGTGGGCAAGCAATCGCAAAATCAGAGTTCTAAAGCAAACTCACACTTTCATTTAAAAAGCCTCTTGTTGTGAAACTTCTTCAACGGGCAGAACGGGTGAACCATACACACAGCATGGCCATTTGGTCGGTCAAAAGATGCACTATTGAACTGGCATCACTCGCATCACCAAGGTCGCTCTCCCCCAGCAGGCTGTGGCTACCTGACAGGGCCCTCCACCCGACCACCCCCCCAAACCCCTAATACTCACTTCGTTCGCCGACGCTGGGCACTTCAGCATAGCCTATCGGCATACATATACATCTCAAAACTCCAAGAGTGGATTACTTCAGCCCAGCTCAGCTGCTCCACGAGTACAAATCATGGGACCGCAAGTAATTACAGCCAAAAGAATGTTGCAGTACGAAGGAAAGTAACAAAACCGCCCGCACGAACACCACGTGCGTGCCGACCGGAAAGTCAGTCCTGAGCCCATGAAGGACTGGAACCCCTGCCGCAACGTCATCCCAGTCGTCTTCTTCGTCGAAGGGAGCACAAAGCACAGGTGGCAAGACGCCTCGTGTCCAGAGGCAGCAGTGGTCTAGAAAGCATCACCATTCCACACCATCATCTTTGAACCGAGAGCAAAGACCAAGTTTGTAAATCCTTCTAACAGCAACTTCGGATAAACGAGAAAGAAAAGATAGCTTCGGAGCTCAGTCTCGGAGCACTAAGATCTTTGACCTAGCATCAAGAAATAAAATGTACATGAACATATCAACAGCAGCTCACAAATTGCCTTTCTGATCCCTCTGAACACCTCCAAAATATTTCAAATGCACTACATCTAGGAAGACTAATCTGATGTTGACTTGTCAGGCAACGCCAGATCTTCCAAGATCCTGCCTATTTCACGAGGGTACTCGATCGCAACCAAGCCATCTCGCTCGATCAAATCAGACTTGGCAAGCGCCTCGGTGAAGATCACTGTCATCTAAGCTCTGAATGACCGCAATGACTCAATGACCCAGAAATAAACGAGTGTCACAGTGGCCTTCAAGTGGCACCAAGAAAAACAGTTTCCTTCTAACGGAGCCACTGTGACGAACTGCACTTCAAGGCAAGCTGCAGTGCAAAGCTGCCGGTAGGAGATCTCGTTGAAGTTTGGCGAGGCCATCTGGCATCAAACGCACATGATTCTATTATGCTCAGTGTTTCTCATGTCTCACTTGAATCGAATGAGTTTGGCTGACGATTCCATGTTGAGCCCAACAAATTGGAGCTTGGCAACCCACTGAAGTTGCTCACCACTTTGCAAAAATGAAGCCAGTAAATGGAAGCCAGACAGTTCCATAAGACTGCATCTTGTCTCCCATGTCTCCCTCTCATTACAGGCTATTCAACCTTCCGCATCAAGAACACCTCGCCCTCTACCAAGCTTGGTTCAACCCAAAATATCGGTGTTTGAACACGATCCAAAAGCCTCAAGCTGACCTAAAGAAGGATTCCCATCAGGGCAATAATGATTCTAGCATTCCTCCAATGAGTGAAGTCGGACCATAAGCGCAAGCTTAGATGGAGGCTCCATTGAAATGAAACAAGCCCTCCACCAAAGCGTGCAATGATGAGTGCCATCGGACCCTCCTACGCACTCTGT